ACCTTTGCACAGGTTCATCTTTGTCACGGACATTTTCATCATTGGTGTTGCATGAGATTATACTTTCTCATTCAAAACTGGTATAGAATTTGAGGGGTGTAGAATCCACCTAGATTCATAGCCCTTGCTTGAAAAGCAGGTTGACCCTGTGGCAGAGGTGGTATTCAACAGGTTCTGACCAATTCTGAAGAACCGGTTGTGGAAATTTTGAGTAATTCAGAGAACCGATAAATACCACCCAGGGGTGAGTTGCTCCCGGTTTGGACTGGTACACCAGAAGGGGTTCGTCAAATTTACCATACCTTTTAGACCCGTTCGTCTAGTGGGACAGTACCGGAACACTCCCTCCTGCCTGCCCCCCCTCGCTCACTTGCCCCACCCATCTGCTCCATGCTTTCCCCACCTGCCACTCACTGATTGGCTGGCTCACCAATCACTCCATCTCTGAGAGGCAGGGGTGGTTTTTTCAAAAACGTGTGAGAAAGCCTCTCCCCATTGCCCGAATGTGTGAACTGTGAAGGAAGGAGGCTGCAGGCTCATTTGCTTCAGTTACACAATCTCCTTTTGTTCTCCATCTGCCTCATCCACTCGTTCGGGCAGCAGATAATGAAAGAAAGTTGCGTAGCCTGGGGCAAATGAGCCTGCAGCCTCCTTCATTCACACGTTCGGGCAGTGGAGGAGGGTTTTCTAACACACCTTCTTTCTTTCTCCGAAGGCGTGCAAGGAAGCCCCCCCATTGCCTAAATGTGTGAACTGTGAAGAAAGGAGGCTGCAGGCTCATTTGCCTCGGCTACACAATCTCCTTTCATTCTCCATCTCCTCATTCACTGGTTTGGGCAGAAGAGAATGAAAGGAGGTCACGTAGCCGGGGCAAATGAGCCTGCATCTTCCTTCGTTCCTTCCTTCCCTCAGCATCTACTAAAGTGCTGCTGCCACCTCCCCTCTGCGTTAACGGCCTCCGCACTGAGTGGTAGCAAGTGATGGCGGCGTGGGGAAGCTGGTGGAGGTGGCTACTGTTCTTGCCTAGTTGTGGGTCGCACTGCTCGGCAGGCAGTGCCCCGACTCCCCCGCCACCACTGCCGCCGCTGTGCCATCTCAGCAGCAGCACCTCTCGCTCACAGAATGTGGAGCCACAGACTCCCCCCTTTTCCACTCACCTCCTTGGGTGGGACCAGGGCGCGTGCAGGGTGATGGAGTTCGCGACCAACTTTAAAGTGAATGGGGCTGTTTGTGACTAAATGGGACAGAGAACATAGAGGGATGCAAGAGAACATGGAGATAATCTAGTCCACACCCCTTTCCAAGGCAGGAGTCCTTCCTTCTCTTTGAGAACTGTCAGTGGCAAACATAAGGGAAATGGTGTGTGTGTGTGTGTGTGTGTGTGTG